AACTTCAGCAACTATGCAAGCTATAGATGCCCCATTAGGGCATTTATAGTGCTTCATATATGACGGCGAGAGTAGTGACAAAAACGAGGGTAGCACCTAAATAATGGCGCAGGAAGATACGCGTAGTATTACGCGTGGAGATCGAAAGGTAGAGAGTGAGAGGTAGAAACAGTCAATGAATGATAGGAATATTGTCGTCTAGCGACAGGAAGGAGACAGAAGAGACAAAGCAACAAACGATAACCTGAACAATGTCTCAAAAACACGACCTGAATTTTAAAAAATTGTTGTAGATAATGACGTCATAAATACTGACGTCATAAATTAGTTTGTAGGCATCAGCCATGTGACATTAGGGAGTCAGACATTAGAGTCTACTTTTTAAAGTATTTCTTTTGATTGAAATCCCGCTGTTAGCCTTAAGGGTCTTTACAGTTCAGCTCGGGCTGTTTTGGCGAGCGTAGCTCGGCCTGAATGGGCGTTTCTCCCGCGACTAGCGCAAGGGCGTCTCCTGTGAGACTCGGACCTCGGCTTGGGCCGTCGCGGGGTGGTCAAACGACAGTCATAGGAACGAGTGTCAAAGATGAGTGAAATAATGACCATGAAGTCATAGTCGTTAATTTATAGCAACATTGACAAATTAAATAGACCATTCGTTTTGAACTAATTTGTCATTGATGTTATTGAATTATTATGACAATGCCAGCTGATACCAGCATCATTGCTCCAACATATATAAATTAATTGAAATAAAACTGTTAATTATGATAAGTAAAGCGATTTTTCTAAATAACGCTTGTCGTGTATTTCTATTGTTTATGAATTGATAGTCAGTTGTTTATGCCTATAATGGCCGCAATCCTGGTAGGATTGCGGCCATTATAGGCATAAACAAGTATACTAACAGGCATAAAAGTAAGCAATATAATATAATTTGTATTACCAAGCAATAAAAATACGCCAAGCTAGCTAAATAGCCGAGTTCGTACCGAATACCAATAAATATTTTCCAGGTAATATTTGCTATTCAATAAATTTGAAATCAGAATTCTCGCAATGCAACTGTTAAGCATGTCTCGTCGCTTCATGTAAAATGTCAATGCCGCGGTCAGTTTCCTGACTGTGACGTTAAATTTCCCTCTGGTAATGAATACCTCTGTTAGCTTAATTTCTCACGAGTCCTGATTCTATGAATAATTAGTTATTCTACATAAAATCTACGAGCATATCCTAATTTATTTGTTCTGGTATTTTGTTAAATTTAAAGCGTAGGTTGGTTGTTTTCCATCCTATTTCACCATGCCTCCTGCGGATAGAGGAGAAATCTTTGTTTTAAATTTATTTTATTATTATTTATTACTTAAGATGTCATGTGGAACATGGTGTAATGGTTGCAGCTCCCTACAAACGTTGTGTAAAACAAAAACTTGGCGATTAAAAGAGTGGCGGAGAGTTTATTGCCAGTTCTTCTCTTCCGTTCTACGCCCTTGGAGAACTGGCCGGAAATGTAAAATTAGAAGCATTTAAATGTATATTTCTTTTTTGACGTTCATAACTCGTGTTACCTACATGAGTAAATGATTTTTGATTTGATTTTCAGTTAGCGGTAAATTAAGCGGTGATTAAAATATTCAATTAACTCTTACATTATCAGCTTAGATTTCAATCTTATTTCCTCAAGGTATTTGAAACGGGTAAATTAACTGATTTTGCCACGATCCTCTGTTTGCCGTAACACAATTTCCGGGGAAATTGATTGCGCTAGCAATATTGACTTTGACTGCAATTTATGTCAAGGTATCGACTTTAAAGCAAACATTTTATTTGTATAATTTTATATTATATCATTTCGCACAACAGACCGAGTACATGTCTAAGTGCGGAAACTGAGTCTACCAACTATACCACATTATACTATTTACCTAAACGTCAAATTAATTTTTGCTGTATTTTTCTATAAAATTTTCTATGTCAAAGGTCTTGTATACTGACTAATAATTGGTCTGACGTATCAGATCGTGTAAGGGTGCGTACAGACTATGTAACATGTTATATAACTTGTGTTTTATAACACGTCCACAGTATGTAACCTTGTTATTCAACATTATAACATAAAACAATACTGTACACATTAGAATAACAATGCAATATAACAATGTTATATAACCATTGTCGTTTGTCGTTCTCCAGTAGGGATGTGACATTCTGCATAAAAAATGGATTTTTATTAATCGATTAATAAATATGGCAACCAAGAGGCCATAAAAGAAACAGAGGTAGGCAATTTAAAAGGTGGGCCGATGAAATCATGGAAATGGCAGGAAAGACTAAAACCTAGACGAGATTGGTATACAATAAGGAAAAATGGAGGACAATGGGGGAGGCCTTTGCCCGTAGGCACATATAATCAGTTATCGTAGATTAAGAAAAATAACAGTTATAATGTATATATTTAGTATTTCTGATATAAGGCTGTAAATAAATAATAAATAATCGATTTTTCTTTAAAAATAATCGATTTTTTCCTAATTTTTGAATTAATTTCAAAATAATCACCCTAAATATCTTATTTTTCATGGTTTTTTTTACTGAAAAATAAACAATAGAAATTATAAACACAAATTAACGTTTAAGAATAATCAAAATCGAAATTAACTTATTCTCGTTTTGATAGATTTTAGGTGAAATTTGATAAATGCTTTGTTTAAATGCCTTTTCAGTAGCAAATTGCAGTATTTTTGTTGTCTTTTTATTGTATGTTATCTTGTGTTGCTGAATAAATTTATTTTACTTTTAAATTATAGTGTTCCATTCAAACTTGAGTCTTTGTACCTAAAATTAACTGGTTTTATCATCCTTTCGATGTTTTACAAAAAAACATCAATGCATCGAGTATATCAATACATCTTCAAAGAATCGTATTCAATGTATCGCATTCTAAACATCGATGTATATCAAATATCCGTAATAGTTCGAGGTCCGGGTTATAAAAGACCAAACATAATGTCGGGAGGTGGCAGTGGAAAAATCGACTATGATTTATTTTCAATTATAAAAATAATCGATCAATAATCGATTATTTTAAATATAAAAATCGCGTAAAAAAATCGATTTTAATAGATTTTTTTAATAATCGATTATTTTTTCACATCCCTATTCTCCAGTGCTATCCACAATGTCGACACAAGAGGACGTTTTGCTGGCTGCGGCAGCGACTGTTGTAGTTTTAAATAACAAAAGAAAAACAAAAAAACCTAGATGCTGGGTTCATATCAATAACATAACAATATAACATTGTGGTACATATCAATAACTTGTTATTATAACATGTTTTATAACACTCAGTGTCCACATTATCTGAAATATGTTATATAGCAATGTTGTATAACATGTTATGTTATATAGTCTGTACGCACCGTAATAGTCTAAATATATAGGGTGGCCAAAAAGTTGTAGATCAATCGCAAATAGGGGAGGTCATCACCTGCAAAAAATTGTTCTACGGGAGGTCTCTAAGCTCAACCCCTGCAAAGTTATAATTTGCCGCCGCATTTTAATAACTTCAGCTAAAGCAATTGTTTTATTTTTTTGCTTTGATGATGACAATTCGGATTTAAATGTTAACTTCCGAAGAAGCCACGTTAAAGCTGCAGCGAAGCCTAAATGAAATAAGCAACTGGTTCGATAGGTGGAGAATTAGGGTGAACACTAGCAAATCAGTACAAGTGACATTCACACTGCGAAGAAAGACATGCCCCCCTGTAAACCTAGGAGGAAAGGAACTGCCTCAGAGTGACACAGTTAAAATATATCTTGGACTGCACTTGGATCGTAGATTGACATGGCAAAAACACATCGAAACAAAACGGCGTGAGATCAACATTAAGTATAAGAGGCTGAACTGGTTACTGGGTAGAAACTCGAAATTGTCCATCGACAACAAACTCCTTATCTACAATTCAGTTATAAAACCCGTGTGGACCTACGGGATACAATTGTGGGGAGCTACATGTGACTCTAAAAAAACTAAAATTCTAAGAACACAAAACTACATCCTTAAACAAATAAGCAACTCGCCTTGGTTCATAAGAAACGCCGAAGTACATGAACACCCGGGCATACCTACAGTCAAGGAGGAAATAAAAGTATACGCTCAGAAGTACAAGACTAGGCTGGAAAATCATCCTAACCATCTAGCTGTTCAACTCACCCTACCGGAGTATATAAACCGACTAAAAAGACGAAGAACCCTGGAGCTCAGCAGCATTGACTGAGCTAATATTATTATGGTAGATATTCCTAATGAGGAATATCTCCACCCGCAAATCATCCTACAACTCATGCTCTATAAAAAAAACTTCCGGATTATAATAATAATTGGCATTGCAGCTCGCGCTTTCATGAATTTAATAAAAGAGAATATGTAAAAATATATCTTATTATAAGTAAATTAATAATAAAATTAAAATAACTTATATTAAGTAAATTAAATTCATGTCAATTTCAATATGGGAATTGAAATTGATAGATTAATTTAGAGTTATCTAACACCGCTGCTGACCGGCGGAAATTTATTATGAATGCGACAAGCCGGTGCATTAATAGTCAGTATGTAATGTAAATGCATACATGCAAGATAGAAACGTAAACGTTTTGGGTTTTTTTTTTTTAGGTTTTTTTCAAGAAAATCATAAATTATGTGCGGCGGAAAAAAAATGTCTCGACGTTTCGCGTGATCGTTCCTTTGTCGTTTGTCATTCCCTGACTGAAATAACGTTTCATACTTTTTTCACCACCACTATGTGGCTGACTTTTAATATATTCCCAAACATATTGACTTAGGGTCCTTCAAGAAAAGGCAACAGAGGATAGCACTGTGAAGGACCGTTAGACGAGTGGTCTATGAAAAAAATAATAGTCATCAATAGGAAACTTGACATTCAGGTAAATAAAAGATGATATAATGAAGCATTGTCAACAGGGGCGCGGGAGGCGGAGGAATGTTTGGCGATGTCAACATCTCAGCTATTTTGGACTCTCTGAGTGTCAGCTACGACAAAAGAGTGAGGCCCAATTATGGCGGTAAGTGATCTTCATATTCCCAAAACTCCGCTTTGCTTACTGCAAAAATCTAACGTGATTTTGGTGTAAGTGTGGTAATAGTTCACACGTTCAAAATTTCTCAAACTTTTTGTTAAAATAATAATTTGTTGTTGTTATGTGATGTAAATCAAAATATAGGATGGCATTGGACGACGAAAGCTATGATCCAGAATGTCTTCAATAGAACAGCGACGAAAAAAATAATGAATATTTCTTAAATGTTATTTTATTTTTAGAGCTTGGTAAGTAAAATTGTCAGTTAATTGAATGCGCGACTATAAATGTAAATTAAAATCAATAGTGTGTTATGACAACAAAACAACATTACTATTCTGTTTGTACATTCATTATTCTGCAATCGCCCAAAGTAATTTGTTACATAAATAATAATATTTAAATTCGCTTTGAATAATTTAAGCTCATTGTCTGAGCTGTCAGGAGAGCTGAATGTCTCGTTTCTAGAACTATTATTGTTGCACAATTCTTTAAGGAGCTTATTTAAAATTCATATTTCAGGAAATACGAAAGTAAAATAATATCTTTTCGTAATTGGAAAACCTTTTCCGACAGTTTAGTTTCTACCTGTATTGAGTAAGTATATTCATACGTGGGCATGTTTTCCTGATTTGGAAGGTTTACCTTGATGGTGTATAGATTTTGATTATAAAAAGACGTCATGCATGTCTTTGAGTTTGGAGATGTATTTTATTTATCATAAAAAAATGGAATTAAATTAAATTTTATTACCTCGGACAAAGAATTAGTCTAGCGATTCAAAGGGGGAACGCTGCCAGTATCTTCGGAACCTTGCCTAAAGGGACTCCTTTTAATAATATATTTTATTTTATGTTAAGGTTAGTTATTTATTCTCATTTATATGCTAATTAATAAACCTTTCTAGAATATTTTATTTATTATGTTTCGTTGATATACTTATGTTTGTGATGTTTTGGAGGATTACCTTATTATTTGATTTTATGAGAAATAAAATTAATCAGGCAGTTCGTAGATATTTTATAATTCATCGGCACAATGTTTAGTAGGTGCTTAAAGAGCATCAGGATTCAAAAAAATCATCATTGAGGTTTGTTGTAATGTGAAGTAACTAATATAATATTTCAGGACCACCAGTGGACGTTGGAGTCACCATGTACGTGCTGTCCATCAGTTCTCTATCTGAAGTGAAAATGGTATTTAAGAGACTACTTTTACGTAGATGGTCATGTTCACTGATGAATTAGGTTTACTCTTTTTCGAGTCGGATCTAGTCCGTCTTCGAATAAGGGTTCCGGGGATCATCCTTTGGTTTGGTTTTCACTCGCGCATGCGCGCTCGACTCACGATTGGGCTTGATTGCAGGTCCGCCAGTGGAGGTGGGCGTCACCATGTATGTGCTGTCTATCAGCTCCGTCTCCGAAGTGCTCATGGTACTCGTCACTGTCAGCTCACGCTTGTCTCGGCCGCTTCGGCTCAGCGCCGAGCGACCGAGCAGCCCTAGACACGAGGCTGCGAGCATGCCGGCGTATTGGAGCAGACCTCCTGGAGGGTTTAACACTACCACAAATGCTATTTACTGTTACAAATTTAAAAATTCATTGGCAAGTAGTGTTACCTTCCAGGTGTGTCAAAAAAGACAATTATGTAATTTGCTATTGAGCATCCCCCCCAAGACTCTGTCGATGCTCCATTGTTGTTATTATGTTTTGAGCTTTTTATGTTTTTGAGTAGGTATCTGTTGTGTCTGTGGGTTTCTTACTATTGTCTCCCAGATTGGCGTTTACACCTCAAAATCGCCACTCGCAATAATTTTCTTACTTTCAGTAGTCTTGCTATGAATGTATTTAATGTTTGTAATGTTGTCCGTGAGTTCCAGTTGGACGAGGGAACTTTTCGAAGCGTAATTGTTTTATGATTTTCTTTATTTCGGTACAGGTGAACGTTTAAATTTCTTTTTTTTTGTACGACGGTAAATTTTGTGTTCCGCCTTTCAACCTTGCGTTATTATAATATCGAGCCGCGACGATAAGCGCCATTTATTATGTTGAAAACAAACGCGATTGTATTTTTTTTTTCAAAAAGCCGCTCATGGTTTTCCCTTGATAACGGTTCCAAATTACACCGTCTAACTGTGACCAGGGTTTGTGACCCCTAGTGGAAACCAAATCAACGGGACGACATACATAAAGTCACCACTGACGTGACCAAAACAATAGCTGTTAGATTGCGTCAAAAAGTATATGTAAAAAGAGGACTATTATTAATTAATATACGTTCTAAATTAAATAACTTTCGATTTCAAATGAATACACATGTAGAATGATATTCGTTCAATGTTTTACCTGTACTTAATTAATATAATGTGCAAACAAAACAAAAAATTGTTATTTATTAATCTCATTTGCAGACATATACACGTTTCTATGACAACGTTATAACAAATAAATAAATAATTTAAAATTAAAATACTAATGAGCTGTCTTATTACATATAATATGTCTGCAACAATATGAGATGTTATATAAAACACAAGTTGTGCATTCCGATGACTAACATAAGGCACAGAAAATTCACATTTAAACATAAAGGATACGTTTCAACCCATCCCATCCCTATCATTTATTAACTGTTTAGTATTCATTAAAATTGTATTAATGTTCTTAATTTTTTAACAAAAACTATACAAAAACTCATTCGCGATTTATATTGGCGGTTTTGTGTTAACAAAAAGTTTATTTCTATTCGAAACGTCTCCTTTAGGAATTGGATAACACAGTTTTTGCACGACGTCCGGAATGAATAATTGTGTTTGCAATTGACGTGAGATGTTTTCTATAACTCTTTTTATTTTTAGGATTTCACGTTGGATTTCTACTTCCGTCAGTTCTGGACTGATCCGAGGCTTGCATACAAAAAGCGCCCAGGTGTTGAAACATTGTCAGTTGGATCGGAATTTATTAGGAACATATGGGTGCCTGACACATTCTTCGTTAACGAAAAACAATCCTATTTTCACATTGCAACAACAAGCAATGAATTTATACGTATTCACCATTCAGGATCTATTACACGAAGTATAAGGTTAGGAGTAAAAGTAATATTTTAGTAGTTTCCATATTCAGTTGCTACATTTTAGTTATGCCTTTTAAGAATTTCCAGGTTGACATATAAATAAATTATTTGATAAATGGACACAAATTGTATTACTATATTTGTATTTCTTTTTAGATTAACAATAACGGCCTCCTGTCCCATGGACCTACAATACTTTCCTATGGATCGTCAACTGTGCAACATTGAAATCGAAAGCTGTGAGTCTCATACCAAGATTACTTTATTATGAAAACAAAGACCATGTATAGTTTTGCGCAAGTTACATAATAATTAAGTTTTCTTTAAACTCAAAAACTATTGTGGATATCCAAGTAGCTTGTAGACATACAAACTAACGCTTACTTTTTGCCATACATTTTTTTCCATTTCACTTCGAACTATTCGCTTTGGTAGATGGCTCATTCACTCTACAATATACTAAAACCCCAGTGGAATGGGTGCTTATTTTATCGTTCCATATTTCTGCATGGTACAGTTGGCTACACCATGCGGGACATCCGTTATAAGTGGAATGAGGGGCCCAACTCCGTAGGCGTATCAAGTGAGGTGTCCCTGCCGCAGTTCAAGGTTCTGGGTCATCGACAACGAGCTATGGAGATTTCTCTTACGACAGGTACTTGGCACATATTTACCAGTGATGAAGAATGAGCCTTTTATTTCTTTATGGTCTATTACAACGACCATTTGCATGTTGATCGCTTGATTCGACTTCACTATTGTTCGGGTCGTTCAACTTCATTATGCTCTTTCTTTCGAAAATCTTTATCTTTTTTCTAATTTATCGAAACATTTAACTAAACAAGAGTTCTTTTGCAGGAAATTACTCCCGATTGGCATGCGAAATCCAATTTGTGCGTTCAATGGGATACTATCTAATTCAAATATACATTCCGTCTGGTTTAATTGTGATCATATCATGGGTATCATTTTGGTTGAATCGGAATGCAACACCCGCACGTGTCTCTCTTGGTGTGACCACTGTGCTGACCATGACTACCCTTATGTCTTCAACTAACGCTGCTCTTCCCAAGATTTCGTATGTTAAATCCATTGATGTTTACTTGGGCACCTGCTTCGTAATGGTCTTCGCTAGTCTATTAGGTAACCAAAATATTACAAGATGCGTTTTATGTTTAGTGCTGTATAAAGATTGTTTAAAAACGGTAATACTTAAAGATTATATATGTGTAAAATGCTACGCGATCACTTTGCTAAATTGGAAAGGGTGAATTAGCCTTATTTCCTTTTCAGAATACGCTACTGTTGGATACATGGCTAAAAGGATTCAAATGAGGAAACAACGATTTACTGCTGTCCAGAAAATGGCTGCCGAGAAAAAGATACATATCGATGGCCCTCCTGGCACGTCTGAGCCACTTCCACCGCCTAGAACAAGCACACTTTCAAGACCTGCTCCGCCTAGCCGCTCATCGGTACGTACAACATTCTTTTAGTATAAATCATAGCCTATAACTGAAAAACGTTTGATACTACTGCCTTTAATTTAGTCGTACAACCCTCACACACAGGAGGTACGCTTCAAAGTCCACGACCCGAAAGTATATTCAAAAGCTGTGACTCATGAAAACACGATTAATGGTGCAAGAGCCCCCCCACCGCCAGCCCCAGCTGCTCCTCCCTCAGAAGAAGAAATACCACCGCATCTACTACAAGCATCGAAGGTTAGTTAACGTTCTAATACTCAATTGATAAGCGAATGCGAATTTGGTAATGCAACGCGAAAGTTCGCCACGCGAATGTATAATCCAATAATTTAAAATAGTCTAAAAATGTTAAGTTAGAAATTTTTTACAGAGTATCAACAAGCTGCTTGGCACGACCCCTTCGGACATCGACAAGTACTCGCGCATAGTTTTTCCCGTTTGCTTTGTCTGCTTCAACCTAATGTACTGGATTATATACCTTCACGTTTCGGATGTCGTAGCTGACGATCTGGTACTTCTCGGGGAAGAACATTAAATAACCCGGCTTGATAATGGTACTCGAATTTTTTTGGCCAAACCATGTAATATTTAAATCTTTGCATATTATATTAATAATACTACGTAGCACGTTATTGACATACAAGTATCACAATGTATCTTTGTTTATGATGTAAGTGGCACGAATCAACAGAATCTAATAAAACATTTCCGAAAGGTTATTCTATACAAATTACGTAGACTTGTTAGTGTATAGTATCATAGTTAATATAAAGTGTATTAAATTAGACTTACAATTTGTAACGATAGTGAAGTAACATTTATTCCTTAACTAACTATGTCTATCAAATGAATTACTAAGTGTTATAATTATATTTAAAAAAATTATCGGTTACTCTAAATATTCCTTGATTTCGTGTAATGTTAGTGCCTCCTACGTGATACCTGATTTAGTATCAATATGCTCCCTGAAGTGATGTAAACAAAAGTTATGTAGAAAATTACAAAAAAAATCCAAAAAAACATTATAGTCAAAAGACGAAAACTCGGAGTTAAATGACCACGGGTAAATTATATAAGCTAAGTGTGTAAATACCTATATATATAGCAGTAAACTTTTAAGATAATCAATATGATTCTAGACATATATGTAAAAATCATTTATAGAAAACTAATTTATTTCAATTTTAAATATTATACACTGATGACACAATATTACAATTCTAGTGCACAGTAAACTTGCATCCACGTGTTTAGAATAAATATTATTATAATCCGGTCTCTGATGTGGGAAGATACCTAAACTGTTTTACCTTTATATATGAAAGAGAAAAATCTACATTTAATCTAGTATCGTAATTGATTGCAAATTACGATTGTGTATATATTTTTGTATTTAAAATACATATACATTTTAAGTACGAACATTATAAGAAAACATAATTAAATCACCAATGCTCTATTGAAGCAATGTTTTAATATTCAATCACGATACTGGTCAAAGGTCAATCCCACGAAGATTGTACTCCTAAGGAGTTTTCAAGGAGAAAAATACTACAGGCTACGGAAAATTACTGTTTATTTATCTTTCACTTTTGCTCGTTTTTCATACGTAGCATTTTTTACAACTTTTATGCATAAGGTTCAATAACTTTGTCTAAAACTGTACATGACCAAGTATTACACACTTATGGGACTACAAGAGTCAAGGCACGTTGCAAAGAACGCTTATCTTAACTATGGTTCAGGATCTTTTTGTATTACTTTTTGCGTACCAAGCAAATAATCCTATAAAATCTAACATCGACCAAATATCTCAACATCGCGATGATAACCGTATAGAATAAAAATGCATGATATATTTGTTTATTTTAAAACCCGAATTTTCTATACTTCCCGCATCAGAGGTGCCCTAATAATGGTATATAATGTAATTTATCAAAATATGACTGTTCCTTTTTTGACAATAGTTTTCCTATTTTTTTCTTATAATTATTTCGTGGTAAGTATCGTGCTGTACATTCATGCTTCTAGGTAGTTTTTTTGATTAATTTGACATTTAATTTATAGTTTAAAAATATGATTCATCTATCATTTATTTAATTTGCAGTCATAGAGATTAAAGCGTTTAGTTTATTTGTGAGTTATAATATGATAAAATAATTTTGTACCTTCAAAACTATAATATTTATTTATATATTAACTGTGTACTATGTTCGTGAAAGTTTCGATGTTGTTATAAGAGTGACTGTGAGTAATAAGTATGCCTGAATAACATGTTTGTACAAGAAATACTGCTGTGAAATTTTAATTTATAATTAATGATTTTGAAGAGATTTTTACGAGTGTTGAAACATAGTCTTTTCCTTGTTGGCTTTGGGCCCGAATCGAGAGTGTTATTTTGATACATAGTTTAATAGATGATAGGAATGAGAAATGCAACCTATATAAGATCAGCCTTGCGAATCTGTAATTCACTTTCCGAAGTCTCACAGCGGTTTTCGCAGCGGCGGTCGCGCGCAAATCAGTCGTGAAGCAGTCATTTGGCATTCAGATAAGGAGGGAGCTTGTAGTTTATTGTTTATCAGAATGGTAAATCGTAAAATTACTGCTTGAGGGCGACCGCCGCTGTGAAAACCGCTGTGAGAGTTCGAATAGTGATTTACAGAATCGCAAGGCAGTTACAAACTGAAAGTGTCTAGAGTGACTAGTGTCTATTAAATGTACCACAATTTAACGCCTAGGTTGAAGCTTCTATACCTAATGTATTAGTTGTTGTTGTATTTACATGCCACCCCGATACATGTGGTTTTGAAGTTTGATGGCTTGTCGAGTATTTGTATTAAGTATCAAGTACGAATACTCGGACGTACTGAACACAATAGTTGGTACTACGACTGCTCTACCTATATATTATTTAATTTAGTTTGCTAAAAGAATACCGATCTATTTTTAAGTTGTTAGAGTCACGTTATATGCAAAAAGGTTTTGTTACATTCCGTGAATAATTATATTTTATTTATAGACCGATAAACGTAGCTACATGTCGTAACTTTGTTGTAGGTTACATTTGGTAATAATAATGATGTTGACTTATTTGCCCTTCAACTTATCTCTCTTAAATCATTCACATAACATTCAGTAACAACTTTCTCGCTTACCGGGAGCTTTTGACTTTATAGATTGTAATAGATCGATCCCTAAACCATCTATATTGAATACTGACTCGTTTAAATATATTTTTTGAATAACCTTTTTTATTTTAGCGTCATAATTAGGGCTAAATTTCTTGCCAATGCAGTTTGAAATGCAAAAAGTTATTTAAATTTTAGAAAAATGCGTTGCGAAATAAAGATGTATTAAAAAATAACAATTAAGTATTGTATTTAGCCACCTTATAATTCACTGATAAAAGATATTTTTAAGGTTAAATTTATCGTCTGGATTTTAACTCATGAATGTTACAGGCCGAGAAACGTATATTAATTACGTCTAAACGTGCTCAATATATAAGTAAAATAGTATGTATAAGATTATTTAAGTATAGATCATATATTCACAAGTTTCAAAGGAAGAGTATCATTTGTTACATCTGAATATTTTAAAATTTCACGTTAATACTATGCATGTGACTCGTTAAGTTACCTTACCCTTTCCTTGAAAGTTAATCCGAAGCTTGTAATAGAACAAAACAAAGGAATAATAGCAAAGTGTTGGCATTTATGAAAAATATTTAACAACGTTAAGTTTATTGCAGAGAATTATAGTAATGTTGGTTTACTGTCGCGATGTACTCAATAATTTTATTGAAATGCGTTAACAGTAAAATTAAATTTAAAAATGTAAATTATGCACTTAGATAGTAAGGAAGTAGAGTAGATTAGCATGACAGGTAACGGACGAATTGTGTGTTAAAAATATGTTCTGTGTACTAAATTAGGAAAAATATAATTTATCGACGAATGTTTATCCTTTACTATATCCATTATTGAAAGACATTTGTTTATATTGAATGATAAAATTACACAAGTCGTCCGGATACCTTCAGCGCGAAACCAAATTCTAAATCACATTTAAATAAAGGTTAGAATTAAATATATATATATATATATTGACATATGAAATCGATTAGAAAATTATGTATTTAGTATCAATTGTTCAAAACTTATATAATATCAAGTTAATAGGTCTACTCCTTTGGTAAAAGCACTCATAATATACCTTTTGTAAGACTATACTATAGCAAGTGAATATAATGTTCAAATAAAATAATAGCCGAAGATTAGAAATTTCATTAGGATTTTAAATGGAATGAATAATTTTAGAATTTCAAAATTGTAGTCTGCCATTCGTGTAATCGATTTGTTCTGAGGGGGATAAGAAAGTGACAGAACCCAGATGATCTTACCCAGTTATTCTTTACATGAGAATGGAACACCGACAATCATGAATTAACGTTAGCCCCTCAAATTTTTGTCATATAAGCCTGCAAAAAGCACATATAAGCACCATGCAATAAAGGTTGTAGATTATGCATATAATATCTGTTTATTATTGTAAAATCACATTTATATTATGGCAATTCTTAATTTTAATACACCTCTCGTAATTAGATGTTAATTTGAAGATAAATTTTGAATTTCGTACAGAAATATGGTTATGACTGTGCCAAATTCAGGCTGTAATTTTAAAATATTATCAAAATAACATTTGAAATTTTATTATCCTGCACACATTCTAAAAAAAATCTTTAATGATTGTGATAAACTTAAATATTTGTTACTTCTGAATTTTTTAACACCAAACAAATATTATTTTAGTACTAATTGCCAACTAAACTCTTTTGTTCGTGAGTTGTGGCTCTATAGACTTTTGATTTCGTTCATAAAACTAATTTACGTATATTGTTAAAGTAGTAAAGTATTGTGTAAATTTTATATTATTCAAACAATCTTTTGTTATATAGACTACACTACACTTGGGTTGAATTATGAAAGGACCACCGAAAGTCACAAAATGCTTTTCCTACACTATCATATCACACGCTTGCCGTTACAATGATGTTTCTACCAGGCTTTAAGGGCATATAACATTTCGGAGAATTCCTGGGGATGAGAATATAAAACAAAAGACGAAGGCCTGCATTCTACTGTGTTTGGACAAACGTATTTTGACTTTTCATTGTGTATGCGTGTTGACCAACTACAATCAAAGGGCCATAATTCCTGTTTCGTTTTAGATTCTTACCCACTGAATTAGTAGTTGCAATCAATCATCAAATAACATTCTAAGACAAGGCCTGTAGTAGAGGCTAACACCGTCCGCCTTCTATAAATTGATCTATTGTTTATTACTCGTAATTAACCACATAGCTTTAACTAGAAGTATTGGATGATATATCCGCGTTTCCTTTATCAGTATTAAAATTAATGTCTCGTTTCGTGGTGCAAGAAGCTGGTCTATTTGGATAGTAAATTTGTATTGTGTTTCTAAATCTTTATTAAATTTAAAATGTGTGAATTTGTAACATTTTTGATG